AGGATTTATAAATAGTGTTTGAGGGCAAATAAAATGCTTAAATTGTGAGTGTTCACAGTGCCATAAACATTAAAAGACAGGCATGCCAAAAACTTCATAAAAGTCTTTCAGGTTCATTTCACATAGGGACTAATTATACTCTATTTAGGTCACCTGTAATGTTTTTCCTTTAAGCAATATGTTCATTCTTTCCAATAAAAGAACCCTTACCTTTTACAGCATGCACTAATTTTTGCAATCAGTTCTGATCTTTAGCAAAGTTTTTCAATGAGATATGTAGTGTGAAATAATCTAATTAGTTCTTTAAAATCTTGGTAATGAGAATGTCACACTTTCTCAAAAAGCATGTATGTTACAAACATTGCAAAAGCTGAAGAGCCCTTTGTAATTAGAATACTCTTCATATGTTAGAACTTTGAGTTAAAGATGTGCTAAAACCTGAAAACTAGGGGGAAATGCCAAACTATGATAGAAGGAACATTAGTTTACCTTAAAATAAAGCAATTACATATTTTAGAACATAAATCAGTTTCTTAGAGTTATACATGTTATTTTCAACCTTTACTGACTGACAACTACATTTCAGAGCACTCTATACCAAGTTTAAGCAAACCATAGGTCACCCTATAACTTAGAAATTTTTCAGATTTTAAAAGTCAGCGTAGACAGAGGTAGGAAAATACAAAATTTTAACTACTACATTAACAGAGAAAAATATTTCCAGAAAGCTATAGAGCACAACTTTGAGGCAATGTAAAATTCAGAAGACAGGAATAGCAAAATTTACATATATATTATTTAGTCTATGTAAGATTTACCCTCAAATTATAATATGCCTAATGTGTCATATGTAATGCATGAAATGTAAGTCTAACAATAAGTGAAAATAGCGACAAACTTTACATTTGAAGTACTCATTTCTCAAGTACCACATAAAAGTACTAAATCTATCACTCTGCTGATAAATTATAGCCAACTTCTAATTCAACAACAAAATATTTGCCAATTCCCTACTAGTCTTATTAACAAATGTCAAAATATTTATTTTATATCTATATTTCCTCTCCTAATTGATATTTTATAAACCAGTTCAAGAACACTTCCACCAAGGCCAAGACAAAAACCTAAGAATTCATTTAAGGACTTGTGGGTTAACATAGTTTGTTGTCTTTTATTGTTTGGGGGGTTTGGGAGTCTTGTTTTTTAAAAATTATTATAAGCATGGATTTTATGTTTTTCATACATGAATGATACAGGAAACTGAGTCCTAAAGATACAGTATTTCATTTAATCTTCAAATTCCAAAAAAAATCATCCTTATATACTCATGTACAGGTTAGAGTATATTTTTTATTAAAAAACACAAGAGTTTGATTTTTTTCCTCATAATACATTTAAAATCTAAAAGCTATTTAAATTGTTTAATGAACATGAGTCTTACTGAAATATTAAACAACAGATATTGATAATCCAGCATATTTCCAAAACAAGTATGACTGCAATTTAATGGTCTGGATAACAAAGACTTTCAGTTTCATTCACCCTCCCCCCCACAATTCATATAGGTAAGCCAAGGCAAAAAATATACCAGCAGCTTTTCAGAAGCCATCTTTGGAAGCATTCCACATAGAATTCTGATTCATATCTCTCTGAACGTGGGACAAGACCTGTCCCAAGTCACTGAAGAAACAGTAATATTTAAAAGGCATAATTCCAGCAAGTACAACAAAACAATTTATAATTTTAGTGTTTCTTTTCAAAAGTGGAAATTTTCAAATTTCTGACTGGTTTCTAGTTCACAAGTTGCTGTATGAGTCTACCTGCTACAATTATCAAGACACAGCTCTAACTTTTTGAGTATGGTAGCTTAAAAACTGGAAAAATAGATCCAGCTGTGAGCTATTAATGTATTAAATATCCTTCTTTAATCCATAACAACTTATAACATATAACAGAAAAATTTAAGCTCTTGAAAATTGTATTACCTGTCAGAAGTCAGAAAACAAATGTTAACCTGAGATAAATGTTTTCTTTCAAAACTGAACAAACACCTTGAGAAAAGTAACCTTAGGGATAGGCTAAGTCCGTATCTCCCAAAATAACGTTTCAAAAACAGTTTTATATTTCAGCTTTATGTTACATGTAAGCCATTTGAGTGTTAAAAACCTTAGATAAAGCCTTTATTTGTTTGTGGTCTATTTCTCAAATACATATTCATAATTAAAAAAAAGTTTTACAGTACACCTTACATGTCCAAATTAGTATTTAAAGAATTTATCATATCCGTCTAAGATCCTTATGTAGGGAATAGTCATTTACATACTTATTTCAAATAATTATTGTCACATAGAAAAACATCAACACTTGATACATTCAAACTACAAATGTAAGCCTGCTGAATGTTACAAATTGCACCCAACTGCTAACTCTCTTCAAATACTTAGTAACAAACAGTTACAAGGGCTATGGCGTGGAAGGTTGAGGGTAGAGATTAGTAACTAATAAACTAAGGTCTTTAAAACTAAGACAACCTTTCAGTGTTGATGCTACATTTGGTACAAAAATACTTGGTTACACAGATGTACACTAGGATTCTGAAAAACAATAGTTTTAGATAAAATAATCCATTACTCTGAGTAGATACTAGAAGGTGTTGACATTTATGAAGAAGTGTACAAAACTGCACAGGTGTAAGATCAGCTAAAGGCTGTTGGTACTTATCGTGATGGAGGCAAATACTATACAGCCCACATCTGCAACCCAATTTTGCTTAAGCATCCCCAGAGACTTAGAAAACATTTCTTCGGGTAGGTTGCAAAATACCGCTTCCTCTTTTATTCTCATCACCCCCATTATGATACAAAGCAACAGACAGACAAGAAAATCAAATCAACTCTAAGGATTGAAACCTTACACACACACACACACACATACACACACACAAGCATCTTCTTTACAACTACCAAAACGGTATTCATTTCACCTGTTTGTAAATTCATGCTAACACAATTACACCATAAACCCGCAGCTGATTTTTAAAAGGGGGGGGGACACGATTAAAGGTTCGAGTCATTCTTCTTCTACCTAGGCAAGGGGCGGGGGAGGGGGATGGTACAAAACAATGGAAACTGAGGGGCTGGGGAAAAATCGTTTTGTCCTGAAGCCTCTAACGTTTAGAGCGGGATGAGGCGGGGGTGGGGCAGAAGAGTACTTTTCCTCTATCTCTAAAAGCTACCAAGGAAAGGTTGCCATTAAGCATGTCCAACAGAGCAGTCTTGGATGCCTACAACTCGCTTCACCAAGCAACACACCCAAAGCCGACTCACCACTCTACACCGAAGGGAGAGGAGCCAGAGAAGCGCGGTGGGCTCTGGGGAGGGGGCGAGGAAAGACTCCACCCCGTATCACTACCGCTGCGCCAGGGCCCCCGCCAACGATTTCCACGCCCATAGGGCGCCCCGCAGCCCGGGCCCGGTGACCCCGGGAG